TCTAGTCCCTCAACTCTTCCTTCTCGCAGATCAGATAATGATCTACACATCGCTACCTTGCTCTGGCTATCTGCCACCTTCAACTTTAAGACCCCCATCACTGTATTAACCACTCATTCATGGGTGGTTAGTTCCAGAATCAACACCATCAGGGCCTCCTCCAAATCAACACAATAGAAGTACCCCTGAGCCCTTTCTGATTTTCAGTGGCTCTGCTACACTTTCCTCTATCAAATCTTCCAAAGCAGTCATCTTAAAATTGTTTCTTTTTTTTTTCAGCTTTAATTGAGTTTATTGGTACATTTTAGGGATACAGTACAGTTACATTCATTGTTGGGATCTTGTACCTCTACATGACAGGTCTTGGTTCTCATTTTTTCCCCTTACCTCTATCTTCTAATGTTTCCGATTCCACTCAGCCTTCTTGAACATGTACTATTTGCTAGAAAGACTGAGGCTATTTCTCCTGAGTACCACATCCATATTCCTCTATCATACTGTAATTTTCTATGCTTTTACTCCCTCCTAACTGCCTTGCTGCATCAATCCAAATATCTTTCAATCCTTCTACTTGAGATCTTCAACTTTTTCTTCCCTCTCTTAAAGGACCTCGGTTCAGGTCATCTATATACTTTTCTGATTTCCTTTCCTCTACCTTTTTAGCATTTATAACAAAAATGAAAATACATGTCTAAGCTTTCTTCTTTCATGACCAGACCACTTGAAAAGAGGCTACACTCACAGCCCTCCCCACACTTATGCAATCCCCCCGCACCAACTTTCACCCTTCTTCTAAAATAGTCTCAAATCTTCTTGATCACCAAATCCAATAGCCCATATTCTCTTGACTCTTTTGTGGCTCTTCACACTGAACACAAGCAAAACTGAACTTAGTATATTTCTCTTCGTCTTCCTTCCTACCACTGCTGACCTTCTCCATTTCACCCAATTAAGTTAAAACTTTCCTGTCATCATTGCTCAAATTCTGTTAAGTTCTCTTCCTTCCACCGTGGTTATGTCTGAATCACTCAGTTTCTTCCTTTCCATTTCTAAGCAGACTGCATCTTCTCTCAACAAAAGTCAGCACATCATACCAGTTTTCTAGCTTCTTTTTGCTAAAGTAATCTTCCTTAATCCTCAACTGTCTAACAAAAACAAAAAATACAAATTTTTTATCCTAAGAAAGAAGAACTGGCTCTAGCCTATGTTTTATTTCTTTCATTTCATGTATTTCAGATTTTCTCTGAACTCTGGGAGAATTCACAGTTCTCAGAACATACCTTGTATTTTTTAACCAATTTGCCTGAATCAGACCAGCCTACTCATTTGTAATGTTCAACATGGTCTTTACTTACAGAAATCCTACTACTGTTTGCAGGACTTGATAAAGATGCCATCTTCTCCTATCTCTCATTAGCTGCAGATTATTTATACCTTCTCTGAACTTTCACAGTTCCAATGCACTCACCTGCTTCTTTCTTCTTACTACATGTACTTTTAATACTATAGTTACTATGAACTTACCTTATTATTCTCATCAGATTATAAATTATTGGAGATAGTGATGATGGTGATATTAATAACTGTAATAATAACCTCCATCATAACAAACCTCTTCCATATTCCAGCTCTTTGAAAAACATGACCTCAGCAACACTATGAACAGCACCTCCACTTTTAGATGTGATTAAGTAATGTGCTCAAGGCCAATGCCTACAACGTGGCAGAGGTAGAAATTTAATTTAGGCTTGTCTGATTTCTCAAGCCATGTTCCTACCTACGATGTAGTGTATCTCACCATCTTCAGATCAACAGAGAGCCACTGAATAAAACATGTTTCTCCTCAGTCCCAACAGATATAGCACAGTTTACCTTGCCATACTTCCTCAAGTTGCTGAGCCCGTTTGGTTAATACATTCAGCTAAGGGAGAAGAAATAGCTTAGATTCTTACTTTTAGAGGAAGAAAACACGATAAAGTTTTTGTGTCCTATGATTAAACAGAATATAAAATGCAAAGAAAAAGATCTAATTTACCTGGATTAAGTAATGGCCTAAGTGTGTCTCTTTTCTTGGAACTGTCAAGGTCAGAAAGGAAATGAATCAAGGGAACTCTAAAAGCCTTACTTAGATAATTTAAACCACATTTAGACACAGCCTCCAATAATTCTAGTTTCTGAGGCTCTGACATCAGCCCTATGAAAACATGATAATTGTACTCTGCTGACAGAATCAGAATCAATGTAAATTTAGTGTCCTATTTTACATATGAACAGGCAAAATAATATAGGGCACATATAAATATCAATGTAAAGAAAGTGGTGGTTGTAGCTTTCTATATTTAAGCAGCTAAGGGCTATAATCCTCTGAGAGGAATGTCATTATAAGCTCAAATCCCATCACAACAAATACCTTTATAACAGAGATGTCTGTATAACAAAAAATCTTTCAAGCTTTGGCTGACAGTCCACGTATTTCAAGCAATATTTGATGTGAGACTTGGAGTTCACAATAATGGAAACTGACCTGTATTTCCAAAGGTAAGATTTGAATGAATTCATCATAAGTCCTATCCCATGATACCATGGGCTAAAGTGGTGTACAACCCAAATCCATGAAACTAGAAACTAACCACAATTACAGAACCACCTTAATCTTAAAGGCTGAAATTTTTTTCTTTCACCTGGCATCTTTGGTAAAGAGAAGGCCTCTGACCTGAGTCTGGAAATGCAACAACAGATCAGAGCTGGCTTCAGGTCTCATCTCACTGAGTGACAAAATGCTATGGTACGTGAAAACTATGGTCCAATCTCCCTCATTGTTACCAGGTGGGTAAACTATATTTATCTATATTTCTTCTTTTTGAGCCTCAGTCTTCTCACCTGTAAAATGCGACTGACTGATATCACTTATGTTCAGGATTTTAGCAAAAACTCTAAGAGCATATATAAAACTCCTAACAGAGTGTCTGACATTTAGCATGTGCTCAAAATAGTTCACTTCCTCTCCATGAGCCTGAGCTTCTCCATGCTATTTTCATGAAACTAGTTAGAAGACTTAGTAAATGGAAATTAACAGAATATACAGTCTTAGGTGCAGCCTGGGTCAAGTGTTGCTCCAGTGAACATCCAGGAAATGAAAGAAAACGATAAAACAACGAGGCCGTGCACAAGTACTTGCCTATGAGAAACACTTTTTTGGCTAAGGGAAGACATACGTACTCAAAGTTAAAATGTAGGTGAGCAGGCATCATAACAATAAATGAGCTCTGATTATTTTGTCAGCGGTCATTTTGAAAAATGTGGATAGCCCAAAATTCAGTCACATTTTCTTGGTTGAAGATGAAATGTAGTTGCTGCTTTGGCCTAGTTTTCTTTTAGGTGCTATTCTAAGCAGCAGAAGGGCCCTTATTTGATGATTTCTTAGCCTAGTCCCATATTTTATACTATTCTCCTTAGTATGATACTGTGAAAGTATTAAAACAAACTCTAGTTTCTCCAGTTGGGAAATATGTAGATAAATAGCTTCTAAAGATACTCACTAATGATTCTTAATATTACTCTAATTTATGAGGTTTTAATTTTTAATGATTTTTAGATACCTGATTTTTGCTTTTCAATTATAGGTCAATAAAGTTCGTGATGACAAAATTCTATAGTTTTTTTAAAAACAACTTTGTTGTTACATGAAATGTCCAAGATAGAACACTTGAGTCTTATACTCTGAAGGCAAATGTGTTCAGCTTTATAAAATGAATACTGGCTAGGGGCTTTAAAATCCCATAAAAAGCTTTCTAAGCCTTATCAAACCTTGGCAACCATGGGGAACAAGAGATAGTCCAATATTTCTCAGAATCGCAGGATGTGAGTCCTATCCTTTTACCTTGTCAGTAAGCAAAAGGCTCAGAGAAAATTATTGTATTCATTTGCTTAACTTAAGTGTATGTGCAAGTCAAACAATGGAGTTTTTTATATGAAGTACAACATAAAAATAAAATAACAGACTGGACAGAAATACTTAGGCATAGAGAGAAAAAAAAAAAGACCCACAGGAAGGCAGAGAAACTCTAAGTAGAAAGATCTAGAGATCAACAACAGAGAAATGACAAAATTATTAAGGTGAGAAGGTTAAAACAGTGGCAGAGACCAAGCGGTAGCAGCAGAGGAGACACTTTACATTCAGTCTACACCATGCTTCCGAAGTAGGGCAGAAATACTCAGAAGCATCAACCTGGTAACAGTGGTTCCTGGCCTCTATTTTAATAACTGCAACTTCCACCCCCATCATCTTAAAATGGAGGATATAACCACCACCAGCTCACACACTTTAATTGTACCACTGATAAGGGCGTAAACCTCAAGCATTTTTGAAGGTGTGCTAACTAGCTCAAGCCACTAGGGCACCACTCCCTGGCTCCAAAAGACACACTTCCCTTAATGATGCCTACCTAGCCCCCAAGATTGGACGTCCCTCCTAAAAGTGAAACTGATCTTCCTCATACCAGTGGCACCACACTAACAGTTTACAAGGCATTTCAAGGTCCGCATAGGCAATGAAAACATAAAATACCATTGTAATTACATGAGAAATTACGGGAGAGTAGCACAGAGTTAGCTCCTGAAATTCAAGGCTGAGAAACACTGCTCCTCGGAGAAGCAGCCACCCCACCCAGGAAGAGCCAGTGCTGCTACAAAGTGGTCTCTTGGGGGCAATCAGGCGCCTGGACAGAGGCTTGAAGCATCCCTGCCCTCTCTCCCTTTCCAGTCCCACCTGTCCCAGCAGGCGGGCGGGAGCGCAGGGAGGAGCCTGGAGGAGCAGGCAGAACACAAGGGCTGCCAGCGCCAGCTGCTCCCAGCCCGTCCTCCTCCTCCTCTGCCGCCCTCCCTCCTGCAGGCTGTGGGCTCTGGGTGGCCCTGGTCAGCCCGGGGATGCTCACAGCACCCACCAAGCCCGCCAGGGCACCTGAATGACCCCCACCCCATGCGACCCGCACTGTCTGTACCTTTACTCTGGGGAGGGTTCTGACTCCGGTCTCGGAGGACGTTGATCTGGTAGACGGCTCCGTAAGGCTCAAAAAGTTCTTTCAGCTCCTTTTCTGACCACGACCGGGGGATCTGTCCAACAAACATCTTAATGGCATCTGGGTCTGGTTGGTCTGAGTGATCCAAAGCTCCATTCATTTTGTTGGCTGTGCCGTTACTGTCAAAAACGGAACCAGAAGCCAGAGTTAGGGCTGCAGGGTGAGGGACAGGAAGAAAAAAAATTGTGGGGGTGAGGGGGTGGGGAGGCGGAAGGAGGAGGAAGAGGAGCAAGGGGAAAGTGCCTAATGAGTCGAAGAAATTTGATGAACTAAAACAAAGCAGAGGCACCATTAGGTTGTTCCTCAGCAGCAAGCCAGGCTTTCACTGCGTGCTGCTGGTCCGCACTGCCACCCGAGCACAGGGCAGCGCTGGGCTGCCTGTCACCCAGGGCGTGGACATCTCGGAAACAGGGCTCAGGAGGCAGCTGCAAGTTAAGTGCTGGTCTCGGTCTGCAAGGCTGCCATCAGTGTATCGGCAGCATTATCAGCACTGCACTGGCTACGGCGGGGAAGAAAGGCAGGGCTGGATTTCCGCTGGATCTCCCCCCACCCTACCCCACTCCCCGCCCTTTTTTGGAGGTTTTTGGAAGAGAGGAGAGAGGTGGTAATAATAAAGTCACATGGAAGGAAAATGAAACACTTGGCAGTTCGTCAGATGACTAATGCAAGATGCCGGTGATGAATTTGCAGAGTGCGCGAGGCATCCATGTGTGCATCAAATTAGTACGTTGTTGCTGCTCAGAATGGAAAGCGCTCCAGCTATGCAGCTCTCTGCAGCTGATTGGTTGCCTACACTGGAAAAAAGGCCAGAGCTGGGAGGGGCTCTCTTTAAAAAGCACATTGTTTATGGGACCCAGGCACAAAGAGTTTAATTCAGAGAGGCAAAAGGGATCTCAGAATTGCCTGCTTTGTGCTTGCGGGGGAAAAGAAGGAAAGAAAAGAAAAGCAGACCCAGAAAGTTGAGTTCCCACTAAAGGACATAGAATATTTCAAATCTTTCACACTCCATAAATTGCTCTCTGTATATCTGACTTCCAGATGTTGCACTTAAGCTCTAAACAATCACAGGTTTGGGAGAGAAAGAAAAGACTGCCTTTCTTCTCCTAGATTCAGTAAATATTTGGGGTTGATGCGAGGAACAAAACCATGAACTTTCACATATCTGTCTTCCTAATGTTGTTTCCCAAACTCCCATTTGGAAGCGAATGCTTGTTTGAGCCGTAATCCTGCTCACCATCATGTGAGACATCCCTTTTACTTAACCACCCTCCCCATTTAGGCAGATAAATAGCAAAGCAAAACCCCACATCCTTTTCTTCCTGTCCCTGCCCATCCCTCTACATTCAGCACATCCAGCTCCTTGCTTGGTGAGAGGGCTGCCTGGAGCCTCACTCAAGTGCGGTGCATGCTCTTGGGTTAGCTGCTCTGCCTAGGAAAGTCTCACGCACCTACACAAGGGCAAAGACTCAGAGAGCCTGGGCCACAATGCCCCCAGCCCAGAAGCAGAGGTAGGAAAGGGGATGGACACACTGACTAAAACTAAACTGCAAATGGCAGGTGTGACTTCACTGGAGCCTTGGAGAAACAATAAGAAGGTATTCTAAAGACCTCCAGCAGAATTCCTTATCAGGCTGTAACAAATGAAAAAGAGCGCTTTGATTCTGCTGTGAGTCTAGGCTAGCCACGAGCCCTTAAATAAGAAGAAACAAAAAGATAACATCGATGGTTGAAAAACCAAGAACACATGAAAAGAAGAAATCCTCGATTAGATTTAATCCAGAGAGGAAAATGATGTTCAATATGCTTCACTAGGTCTTGACTTCAATTTTTATTTCTTCTCCCCCACCCCATTTTATCACTCACTTTATTTTCTTATCCTTAAGATAAACAATCAGACTGCCTAACTTGAAGCATTTTCAGAGCTGCCTCTAATCAACCTTATTGTTATAAAAAATGTTCTGCTGAATAAAATATTGAGTACAAAATCTTCCTTCAACAATTGAGATGTAATGTAATGTTTGTTTATATTAGTGCTAGATCGTTTATATTGTTCTTATTCACCTACTTTTTTTCCAGTCACTGTTTGAGAATCGAACAAGCACTCTAACCCTGTGGGGCTGTGATTACAGAAGGGTGGAGGTGGCAGAAACTCATGCAGGACAGATCGTAGTGTTCTCAGCACATTGAGAACTGAGAATGTGGCAAGACATTTCTGGGACAGGAAGGACTTGCGGTCATCGCTATTGACAACCAGCTAGAATGCAAAGAGGAAGGTATTTCCACAGGTCTCAGCTAACAGAAAACGGAAGTTGAAAAACTGAGGCTGTTGTATGTTGTCTGTAATAAACATGACTGCTGTAATGGAGGGCTTCTATCTAGTCCAGGCTGGCCTGGAACTTGCAACGATCCTGTAATGGAGGAGTTTAAAGTAACGGTATACTTGTCCTAATATCGAAACTTCAAAGTCTACAGCAAGCAAGCAGCATCCCTCCATGTTTCTACAAATGAGAGGTCTTTTATACCTTCCGAGAAAACATAAACTCACAGAGCCCATAAAGAAAGGAAAGTTGAGAAGGGAGCTCAAGCCTTACACCTTTGGTCTCTTTGCAGGCAAGCACTGTATTTACAATCCCTCTCAAGCAGCCATCCTTCATGTATGCAAGGAGGCCTCTTATCATCCGGAGGCAGTATTGCACAGTGGTTAACAGTGTGGTCTCCGAATCCTAGCACTACTACGTCCTGTTACTCTAGACCTAGACCCTTCATCTGTAAAGTGGGAATAACAGATTCTACCTCAGATTCACATACTTAGCGTAAGACACAGCACAAAATTAAGTGCTGTATACATGTTAGTTATTTCTACTACTAATTCCTTCTTTGTGTTGTGATCCATTTGAAATGACTGACCACCACAAATCATTTTTTCAACACAATTTTGTTTTACAGTACAGACCCAAAGAAAATTTGCACCCTAAATAACAATATGTATATTTTATATACCAACTACTGTGCTAGGTACTGGTATATTAAAAACTAGGTGTCCTCATATAACCCTAAAGGAAAGTAGCATTTTTCAGATGACAACATCTAAAAAATAAGTTATTTCTCTATGATTACCAGCTGATAATTTGTAGATCTAGGCCTCAAAGTACAAAGTATTTCTAATTTACCATGTGGCCAAGTACTCTATCCAGTCTGGCTGGAGTTGACAGTGAACAGTTCAGGGCAAACCAATTCAAATATAAAGCCAAGAACTCGTCCTGCTGGGTCCTTGGAATCACACCAACAAACAAAAGGCAAGCACTAAAAGAAACCTACACATGTACCTTTCCTTTTTCTGAGAGAAAGATGCTGTTAAGGGCTGAAGTTGGAGTCCTTTACAACTACTTTAAAACCCACATTTAAAAAAATCATCACATAAAGATGATTCCTTTGCACGGAGGCTTTTCCTCTATTCCTACAGTCATATAGATAAGCACTCTCATCCATGTCTATGTCCTTTCTTGCCTACCATTTTGCAAATAACCATTCCAAAGGTCTGCATCACATGTTAAGGGGTAACAATCCCTTAAATAAATACAACCATGTTTAGTTGTCATGTAAATTTAAAATACCACCACCATACCTCCCAAGCCAAAAGCTTTGGTAGAATAGGTAGATCATATGCCACTCACTACCCATTATAACATTCCACACCCTGAATCCTCATAGTATTCTAACAGTTCAGTTAATTTCATTGTAATCTACCCAAGTACCTCCTCCCTTGGACTTCCAACTTCCTTCCTAGCTAATATTCATCTCTAGTGGAGGATCACTGACTCTTTCTTTTGTCTTCATGGGGATGTAGGTACAGAAATGTTTAGGCAAGACAAAAATTTTTTTTTTCAAATTAAGCTCTTGTGGGTACTTACCAGGGGCTGCAGAGAGCCAATGTGCTCTTCTTGGAGAAGTAATTATAGGAACAATCACCCCAAATCTCAGCAAGACCCTTAGTAAAACCTCTAAGAGAATTTTATTGGCTTAGAAAATCAGACAATGCCATTCACTCCCTAGCCATCCTCATACCCCGTACAGTGCCTTTTATAGCACAAAAGTTTAGATTCAAATTATATTTACTGAAGACCTCCTCTTTGCCAGAAACCTTTGCTGAGCGCTCAACATACAATATCACTAGAGCTCCAGTTGGAATCATCTTTTTTTTTTTTAAGGAATTAAGAGTCACAGAGGTAGTGTGCCTTTCCCAATGTCATACCCTTAAGAAAACATGACTTCTGACTGTGAACACAGTAAGACATAAAGGACCACTGCCATTTCTTACTATTCCATGAACTGGGTTCCTCTAGAGTAATGTTTTCCATGGACTCTGATCATTTACAGGCCCTAGTCACAGGCACATACATCTCTTCTGGAACTTTGCCTGCAAATTCCAACAAGATCCCACGTGCCAATTTTGCTTTTGCCCTAAGCAAGGAGCCAACTATAAGGCTCCTCTAGGATAGATGCCATATGGAATTGGACCACAAAAGTCATAGGGCAGGAAGCCAGTGGGTATTGTTGGTATCAGTCTCAGAGCCAAGATGAAAATATAACAATGTTGGGAGAAAAAAAATGAGAGTGCTTACTTTTTGCTTTTAGCACAGCACTGACCTACTTCCCTACTCTATTTTCTAGTAAAAAGAACTAGATCAACACAGGACATGCAAAATCTTCTGATCTCCTCTAAAGAAGTAAAACAGTATTTTAAAAATAATAATTGAGCTGGGGGGGTTCAGTGGTAAATTGCTTGCCTGGCATGGGCAAGGTACTGCATTTGATTCCCTAGTATTGCAAAAAAATTTTTTTCAACAGTCGTTACTAATTCCAGGACAATAAGCTTCCCTAAGACCTAGTAATTTGTAGTTTCCAAAGATTATAAACTGAGATTACTAATCTTTGTTTGTCCTTGCATAGTTTTTTGTGTTATATTTCCTTTATATAAAAAAGAAAGAACAGGGCAGGGATTTAGCTCAGTGGTACTGCACCTGCTTCCCAAGTGCAAAGTTCTGAGGTCCTGAATTCAATCCCCAGTACTGCAAAAAATAAATAAATAAAATAAAAAGAATAAAAAACCTATAAAATA